TTTGTATTAACTCGGCTTTTGTTCCTTTGGTTCCTTCTATGGAGATACTAAGACCACGACAAATTTCTTCAAGATTACTTTTTGACAGGTTCGTATCAGACATAATTTCTCTTTCTTATTTTTATTTTTATTTTTTTTTGTTTACTTTTACGTTATTTGTTACTTCTATGTTATTTATTGTTATTTATTGTTTTAGGTTTATTGATGTGTACTGGAGCACACGTTATGTCAAACACAAAAGAGCCGGATCGTAATCGGGCAATGAAGAGAACAAGCAAACGATACAAGTGAAGTAAAAAAGCACCATCTCTTCACGATCTACACCTATATGCATATCTAACAATAACTATTATACAAATTACTAATCTGGATGATCCTCGCGATAATAATCCTAGCGTGACTATCGTCAACGCATAGGGCTAAACTCAATCTCAAATAAGGAAAAAAGTGAATCTGTAACCAATCTAAGTATAGAAAATTTTAACTCGATGAGACAAACGAGAGTAGAAGATGATATCATTGAAGATGATGACTTATATGAAGAATGTATAAATAAACATAATGATGAAGACGTAAACAAGAACGACGAATATAAAGAAATTACTGATAAAAATAATGATAATAGAAAGTCTATACACGATTGTGAAAAGCCAAACAAAGGCAAAGAAAAAGTAATACAACCAGCAGTTCATAATACCCAAAGATGAACTAAATTATCTAAAAATACAAATTAATGAAAAAACATAAATTACAAGTTTAAACATTTATAATGAAAACATAAATTTACAACATAAAACTTATATTAAAATATGCTAGTAAAATATATATTAACTTACAATGATGCAAAACCTAACAACTGCTAAATGCTTTAATATAAATTACATTTACTTTCTTTTATCCTGTTTAACTTTACTTATATACACATATAAATATATCAAAATTAGAAATGTAATAAATACGAAATACTAAAAAAAAACATTTTCTTATGAAATTGCAAAAAAAATACTTAACATATAAAATAATACAAATTACCATAAAACTTTGAATAACTATAATCATGCCATATGAATATGCAAAAAAACTAATAACACAAAAACAATCCCAAGAAAAAAATAAAAAATTAATCATCTTGATCAAGACAATAAATAAACAACTAAAAATATAAATAACAAATTAAAATAAAAAACATTCAAAATCAAAGAAAAACAATATAAATAATAACAGAATACAGTAGCGTGATCGTACTAGTCCTGCACCACGTTATACGCTGCATAGCTATCCTAATGAATTATAAATTAAATGATTAATTATATTAAAAAATAGTTAACTTTTACTTGGTATATATGCATATAATCTCAATGATTCAAATAAAAATAATTTATTCTAATATCATTAATTAAATTACTTTATTAGAAAATTGATTATATTAAAGTACAATTAGAAAATATTCAACGAACTGACATATAATAATCAGATATTCAGTATTGTTTACTTATATAAAAAAAAGGAAACAATATTGAATATCTAATAATACTTATTCATTTTGCTGCTATGTAGTTAATTGTTTTAAGTAATTTTAAATTACCAGATCTGGTCTGACATTATATGTATGAGATATTGCTATAATATATTTAGTTAGATAAATAGTTATATTAAATAATTTACATTTTTTGTTAGGAAAATATACAGAGAATTGTTTAATTACACAAGATCAAGATTATGTTTTTCAATTCATTCGCATAGTGTTATGTTATTCTAAAAATCCTAAATTTTGCTTTAAGAAAATTCAGTTATTGAAAAAATTGTCTCACATGGCTAAGAATTCATCCTTGTTATAGTTTTAGCATATTTGTATTTGGTGGTATATATGAATATTAGCTTTCATGATTAAGAATAAGTTTTCTTGTTATAGCTTTAATATATTTATTCTT